TCTGTTTGAATTCTGCCTGATATGTTTACCTTACATGCCATATCGAGTAGTATAACTTTACGTTTTGTTGTTGGCTACGATCAAAGTTTGTTCCACTTCTATTTTAGATATTTCGCAATGAAGTTCTGGAAAACAGGATTATTTTCTTCCTTCTTATCCGTCGTAAAATGTTAGAACTATTCCTTTTCCCAGCGTTATTTTTTGTCTGTGTATTCTTAGTCCATGCTAACAGGTTTAGATAATTCCCTAAAGAATTTTTTTAATTTAAACCGTTTCCTTATTTGACTTTGGTTACTTAAAAGAAAGTTTCACTATCAGCTTTACGTCCAGATGTGAACTTTGTGAAAACTTATTTACCAGTAAAACCAAAGCAGTTTTGTTGGGTGGCACGGTGGCATAGACAGATTCACCCTTGAAGTTCACAGCACCCGGAGGTTTGATTCCAACTCCGGGTGCTCTGGATTTCCCTAACACTAAAAGCACAAAATGAATGAATGAATGTGAAGAGAGAGTGAATGGCTAGAAGCTTTTTTGCGCCGGAAATAAAGGCGCCGTGACAAGAGCTCTGGCGTGTATGCCATCCTGATGCATACTAGGGTAGTCTTGCGCAGTTTTTCCAATGTGGTTTTACTGCAAATGGCAAATAAATTCTTCATTCTTGAATCTTGAATCGCAATGGCCAGGGGCTTCGATGTACCAGGTGTTCGGCGTCTCGCTTCTGTCATCACCGTGTGTGGAGTGAATGGAAATTACTGGTTCACCATAACTTGTAAAGCGCTTTGTGTGACCTTGGTCTGTAAAATGCCCTATAATAAAGATTACTTACTGACTTACTTACTTATCTAATCTTATAGTACCCATAATAACACATTTGAACTGTGAAAAATAACTAACATGACTTTCAATCTCACACGAACGGCTGGGCGAACTGGGCATAGATAAAAGATGATTTATATTATCAAATTTGTGATTTTTAATTATCATTTTTAATATATAACCTCATAACCTCACTCACAGGCAGTACAGACACATAATTTATTAAATAAATTGCGCATATATGATTGATGTCTCTGTTTTTTTTTTGGCACAGCCCTAGTATTTGTATTATTAAAAAAAACTGTTTATCCAATTTTCTTAAGAGGATACAAAGACCTCTTAGTAGTGTATCTGCCAAGTTGTGTTTTAGATTAGACCTACTGACAAAGTATTTTCTTGTGTTGAAACTGCGCTGCCAGTTAGAATCCTTAACCAAAAGTGATTGTAACCATCTTAGACTAATCACAATCATTTTTTCCCATAATTGTTCAGCCCGCGTCCACAAACTAGTTACTATTCATTTTACTTTCACTCTCTTCATGCATTGTTCCCCGGTTTATCCTAACAGATTTCACCGATTCCCAAAACAGACATTTTAATTTTGCCCAGAAAACATTAATTTGTACCATTCCGGAGTAAGAAGTACTAGCTGGTGGCTGGTTAAGTAGGCATGACTCCTGCGAGCTCTGGACCCCCGCGTCGAGCTTCCTCCCATCCATGTTGTCTGGACCCGACTCAATTGACAACAGAACCGCAATGGATGCTCATTCAGTGGCCATGTCTGCGTCGGCATGACCTGCAGCATACAAATGAATGAGCTGAATGGAAACAGTCTGAATAAATAGTAAGTAGTGTGTCAGGCAGAGCAGCCAAGAGCAAGTCTGGCTCTACATTCACATGCACAGGACAACGCAGAGGCCTTCTAATGGACCAGGGTGTTCCGTTGCCGCTTTATTATCAGTCAAATCAGTGCATTCTTATTACGACTTCATTTTGATCTAAATCAAATTACTATAGACCTGTATGCACCCAGGTGTTGAGGCAATTAAAGGTGGGATACGTAACTTTCAGGTAATAAAATCCATGCCGCTTGTTCCTGGCTCCAAAACAGTTCTATCAGTAGTTTTCACATGCGTGTATTTTTGGCCTTTGTCACATCTTGAGATCAAATTTTTCAGCTGGAAAAGTAACAAAAGAGAAGACCATCCTCACTTTATCAGCTGTCAGCCCAAAGAGGGCTCTTTGTATGCAAAATATTATGTTCAGATTCAGAGTACTTTAGTTATGCCACCAGGGGCAATTCATTTGAGAAGCATAGGGCATAAAACATAACAAATAAAAAATAAAAAAATGAATTCAATAAAAAAACCTGGATTTTTTAAATTGTTTAATTGTAAATCAATCCATTAATCACAAATAGTCAGTTATGTAGATGTCAAATAATCAATATTTCAGGTTTTTTGACAGTATGCGAAGAGGTTTTGTAAGTGAAAGTGGTATCGCTTGTTTTGAAGAATAATTGTTAATTACAGCTCTACCGCCAAGCCACACCCCTTTTAGTCGTCTAAATGACCTATAATCTTGTAATGACATGTTCAAGTATGATATTAGTGTTGGTATTGGTGATCATTCTCATATTACATAGACGGAAACATATTAAGTTTTATTAAGAACAACAGACACATGGCTCACTGCCCATAAGAAGTGTTTAAAAGTGACGCACACAGAACATACGGCTCTGGACGTACGTATGTGGTGGCATTCTGAGCCAGCAGTGCTGAGTCAGGCAACAGTGCGGCGCAGGTGACACAGCAGGCACAGGAAATGCCTTTGTGCAACGCTATTGTATGTGTGTGTGTGTGTGTGTGTGTGAGAGAGTATGTGTGTGTGTGTGTGCGTGTGCGTGCGTGTAAATAAACCCAATAGGGAAGTGCTCATGGCCACAGTTTTTCTCAAACTGGCTCCTATTGACTTAAAAACTAAACTCCTCTCGCTCAGTTGTAAGCATGTATTTTTGTGTGTTAGAACTTCTCAGTGTGCACTTCAAGGTCAGGTCTGAAAGCTAAATACAGACCCTTAGGAATTCACCAAAAGATCATGTCACGTCTGCCAGCGATGTCAGGTGCATGTTTCCAGGTGCAAAACATGGACATCCATCAACTGGAACTGTGCCAAAGGAGACAACTGCTGGACAAGTTGGCAAGTTGAGCTGGTTGCTACAAAAAGACACTCCCTGGTTCTTGGAAAGAGTGTATAAGGAACCTCTGATATGATGTGAACAGAAACAGGTCGAGGCTGATCTGTCTGTGTGTTTCTTGCATTATTGATTCTCTGCCTATGCTACTTTGTCCATCTCACATCTTACAGGCCACTTATGGGCATTTTGGGTTTCGTCAGGACCATAGACTTCATCCATTAACCATTTGTGTCACATTGACCATTTTGGGCTTAAATAATCATTCGTGATTTAGCACTCTCTATGATCCTCATGTTTTTTTATAGTATCTTTGTAAATCCAGATATGAGCCATAAAAGGATTGACCAATCAGATGCATTAAATCACGAGAAACTCTATAGCAACCATCTTGGCAACACGTCTGCCCCTGTTAAGAGACAAAGCTAAGAGACAAAGGAAGAAATGTCCATATAAGGAAATTGGCTCCGGCTAGCTTAAGCTCAAATCGGCTTATGCTCAATAATTCTATATATACATTATTTTATTAAAAAGAATGTTCATACATTAAGGTTCAACAAATACTGGGACAGAGATTAAATTATAAAAAAAACAGATAAAAAACATCAATATAGAGGCTTGCAGGAATATCATTACTATTTTTTTTCCGTTCTTAATTTAGTAGATATTTATAATCACCTGTATGTTCAAATTGGCTTCTTCCACATTAAGGTAAACACTATAGTGACGTCAGCACTGGGTCAGTCCTCTCCTCATATACGTCTGTGTGTGTGGACTGGTCCTGGACAGAGAGAGGCAGCACTTCAGCCACATATGGACGACCACTGCAGCCACATGTGCGAGTTCAGAATAGGATAACGTTGCCATGTATGCACTTATTTATGGAGTATGGACAATATGCAGTCCTGACGTTTCCAGTACAGCAATAATAATAATAATCATTTTATCCAGACGAGACTGAGCAGATGTCGAGAATAAGTGAGGGCGAAAGTATGTTGACTAGAACAACTTTGGCATTGCTATTTGGGGAAGTTATGGGTTTGAAATAAGGCAGCTATGAGTGCAATGAGAAATGGAGAGGACTGAGGCGGTTGAAGGTTTTGCTGCTGCGTTGGAGATGAGAAAATAAAATGTCTAAATAATACATATTGCTATATATTTAGCTCAAAGACACTTTACAATTGAAGGGACAGTAAACGGTAACTGAAAATTGCAATTTTGTGCACACAGAAGAGATTGGCAACTAAGAAGGCCCTATAAAGACAGGAGAAAGAGTGCATTTATGAGAATATCGGAGGCTGTTTGAAAGACGTGATGGACATGACGCTGTACATTTGCACAATTGTCATAACGTACAATAAATAAACAAACATACAATACAAATGAACACATATTGGTGAATATTAAGTCATGTTGTTCTTTATTCACTTATTGAAAAGTTGATAATTGTTGATTCAAAGGTCCCACACTATGTGCTCTCAATGGAAGTTTTATGCCAAAGCAGGAATTAAATCAAAATGACACCAAAAACAGGCACTTTTTGAGCGAAAGAATCGATTTCGTCCACTTATTCTCAAACATCACCATTGATCAACACTGTCCACAGGCTTTTCACAATCAAAACAATTGATGGATTTACCAAAGGAAACTTCAATTGCATTCATAATTACAAACATATCTTCATATCCAGCCAGAACCTAATACTATACCGTAACCGTAGATTCATAAATTAAACCTCGGTTCCACAATTTGGGAAAAGCGACCCATTATTCTTGACACAAACCCGTTTCACGTTTCTATATTTTGACGTCTGTGGTGCAAATTTTGCTCTTGCTGCGTGTGATTCGCTGGGCTGGTACTTGGTGAGACTTTTTGCGAGTCATTTCAAATCATTTGCTTTAAAAAAAGAGCATTTATTTTGATGTGAACATGACTAAATATTATGTCTGTGTGTTTGACTAATGCCAAAATGACTGTGTTACATTCGCAGGCCACCGAACCCTTTCTGTTGAACGAAGAGCCCAGCAGAGGTCCTGGGATGCCTGAGTGCTATGTAGTTTCAGATTCATACAGGGTACGCATTCATTTATTATTATTATTATTATTATTATTTTGAGTATTACACCCGTGATTATCCCACGTGTTGTTTTTCTATGTGTTATTTGAGTCGTTCCTCATTACGCTGACTGACAGTGTGTGTTTTTATGCGCTCGGTAATTGCAGCACAATCATAATGTCATTCACAGCTCTCTCTACTCAGCTGCAAACCATTACAATCATTATTTCCACACCAAAAAAAAGGGGGTCCACGCAATTTCGCCTACCGGGAATGAACATTATAATATATACACCATTACTGTATATACACTGTAAAAATGCAGAAGTAATACGATGGATTATTGCAAAAAGACGGGTTTTAAACGGATCATAAATTAACTGTTGCACAAGTAAAGTGCTAGGGAAAGTGTGCTGAAGGTTGAGATTCACTTTAGAAATTAGAAAACAACTAATTCACTCATAATTAACATCATATTTGGTGTGTGCAAAATATCCATCATAAAACTATTATATATATGTATTGTGAACAGGCGCTAAAAATTGCAGAAAATTAGCTTTAAATTATTTTATTTTTTTTATTTTAATTTTATTTTTGATATTTTAGTATTTCAATTCATGTATTGTATCTTCCAAACAACATGCTTAATATTATCTTAAATCAATATACAGTGCTCTCACCTACTGTTAGAGGAGTATTGACGACAATTTATAATAATACCATTCATGTCTTTTAATGTTTTTTGATACTATTATACTGTTTATTATATATTTAATTTTCTAATCCTGCTTTAACATGTAGAAATGATTGATTAAGTAGGAATTATGAATACTCTAATGCTCATCAATATTTTTTGCCATGTAATATTTTGACTTTTCTAGACTTTTTTTGATAAGAACTTTATTCTTTAGCCTAATGTGTTTGAGTGTGTGAGTGTGTGCGTGCATACATGTGTGTGTGTATTGTGCATGCATGTGTGTGTGTATTGGTGTTTGTCTGTGTGCGTATGCGCGTACCAAAGAATCAAAGAATGCATGCAAATCTAAAAGAAGAAATACGATTCTCCAACTGATCCAAACAATTAGACAAAGTAGGACAGGACTCTCATGCTCAGGAGGTGGGAGCTCATTTTCTAGGCTACACAAGCTTTGTTTTCCCGAATTGAGCATTTTGCCAAGTCTGAGAGTGAATCTGGGCTGCTCTGGTGTATCGTCTGCCATTGTGGGTGTAATGGAGCAGCGCGGCCATACAGTTAACTGTGCATAGGGTCCATACTGTGAAGTCATGCAGAGGGGCGGGGCGTCTGCGGAGGTGGATTGAGTTCCAGGGACAGCGAGTTCAAGAACATTTAGAGAGGACGAGAGACAGACTTAATTCCAGATCCTATAAGTTTAAGAGCCAAGGCGTACAACTTCTGCTTTATGTTGTGGTCAGTTAACGTTATGTGTTTTCTCTAATGTTCTCGATACAGGAGCTATGGATGTTAATGAGACGAAAACGAAAAGGCAATATGCATAATGTCTAATGTCTGTAGCAGTGGTTCATAAGCTGAGGGGCGAGACTCACAGAAAGTAGATCCTACAAGCTTACAACGTGCACAAAATATTTTATCAATTATTTAAGACAAACCATAACTCATGTGAAATCAAACCAACTGATAAAACACAAATTATTACTGCTTTAAATGCTATTTCAGCTGTTATATTCTGAGGCAGAGGTCTCCAACATTTTCCGATTGCAGAACTACTTTTGTACAACATAAATGGCAAATAGCTACTCCTTATTTGCAGTTGTAATAAAACTGTCTATGTAATAACTGGGTGGCCATTTTATACAGGATAATCCACCATATTTCTGTTTAACCCTACATTAGTAAACATAATGAAAACATATAGTTATATTTTGAATGCAACGACTCAAAATACAATTTAGGGACATGTGTCAACTTCCTGAATCCTTTGGGGAGCTCCCTGAAAGAGGTTGGTTATGTTCAAGATTAAAATTAAGATTAGGATATCCTGTATTCGTCCCACTGTGGGGAAATTTCAGAGTTCCAGTACATTAGGAAGGAGCACACAGCACAAGGTAAATGAACACAGCTCTATAGTAAATAACTCTATACTAAAATCTCTATCTTTTAGCATGATAAAGAGCAGTCTATTACCTGTAATAGTCAGCAAAAATTAAAAATCTCTGACTCTAGCATAATAAAGTAGCAAGTATAAAGTACTGTATTTTCTAGTGCAGAAATATATAGTTGAGAACCTCTGGTCTAAGTGCAAGTGAGTGTGAACTAATGGGAGATACAGTATTAAAAGAGAATAGTATCTTTTCTGGTGTAAATTTGGAACCGTTTTTGTTTTGATCACAAAGTTCCAAAGAATGCCATTGAAATCGTGTATTTCACATTAATGGTGTTGCTTGTATACTAGGAATTGTCGCCTCTCTATGGGAGATAGATTCAATGATATCATATTGTGGAGTATTTCAGGGGGAAACAAAGAGATGGATTTGTTTTTATAACTGAAACCTTTCACCTGTCATTATGTAATCCGTCAGGTTACTTCCTGGAGATTTGCATCTAGTGAAAGAGCATAGCCTCGTCGCTAGCGCATATTTGAGGTCAGGCCATTTGGCTCTGTGTGTCCCATATAAATAATACATAACCACGTGGCCATTTGCATTGACATCTGCTAAAGAGCCTTACACACCGACACACTCTTCTTCATCACTGCGGTGTCGTCTGCGTTCGCGGTGGGGCCAGGCCAGGTGCAGAAGCGGCGCTGCGTACATTATCACACTTCCATGCTCCCGGAACAACCTGTTTGGCATTCCCCGGGGCCTCAAATCCCAAGCTCCTCTTATGCAGCACAGAGCCAGCCTGCCTGTAATCACGCGTTAGTCAAAGCCCGGGCTCGGATGCAACTGTAAAAACTGCTCCGCCGGCCCGGGTGAAGTCATCTCGCGCTGGAACTCTGCAGCAGTGGTAAATATGTATATTCGAGGCGTGTGAAAAAGCCTGAGCTGCGGCAGACCCACCAACCGTAGCATATGGCTCTAGCATGTGTTACTTAATGAGAGATTTACTCACACAGACCACTAAATGTGTGGCTCGTTTAAGGCGCTGCGGTGAGGAGCAGTTTGCGTGTGTTGCATGCGACTCTGCTCCGAGAGGGAGGGGCCCGGCTGATCCCCGTGTAACCGCACACTCTAACCTTTTGCACTGGAGGAGAGAGCGTTTCAGCAGAGGGGGAATACTACCAGGCTGCCCACTTCTACCAACATCATCACAAAACACACTATATGCTTCACTTTTAATGACAACATTAGACGAATACAGAGTGATAGCACTTCAGGCGACAAAGTAGAAAAAGCTCCTGAATCCAGAACACTCTCTACACAGTGACCAGGTGTGCCAAAAATGTTTCCCTGCATATGTCTTACATATTTTTCTGTTACTGTATTAGTAGTCCTCTATAAAGTCTCAGGGCCCTACCTTTTGGCTGTTGTTTCATATCTAATCTCTGAAAAACTATAGGGAAGGATTCCAACTAAACTATGAAACTATGCAATTGACTTGATAGCGGGTCTATATGTGATCAGAGGCTTATGGATGCAGACCAGACAATTCAATTATTCACGGTTTGTGGGTTATAAGAAATGCTGTATTTGTTTGTGAAATTATACTTATCTTCTTATCTTATCTTATCTTATCTTGAAATTATACTTTACATGCAATCAATTCTGCAAAAGTAAATGCCACATCTTCCACCAACTCATTGTCTTCTCCTTCCTGCTGTTGTCCCAAATACACCATGAATACACATTTTGTTTGACCATATAAATGACTTAAATGACCAGCTCTAGATATACTACGGTTTAAAAATAAGAATACATATGCACCAACTTCATTAACACTGTAAATTCATTTAATCCTTATGAAGACCATCCTAGTCCGAAACATGTTAAAGAAAGAGCTGTAAATTCAGATTTCCTTATAGGAGTATAGTGTCTGGATAGTTTCTAGTTTATTTAACCCCTGAATAGTTGACATGGTTAGAGCATGTTACAACGCATCTACAGATTTGCTAACAGCTATGTTCAACATGAAAACCCCCCGCCTCGGTGTAGTGACTGAACAATGCGTGACATAAATAACAGCCTGAGGTAGAGGCTGAGGAGCTCCATGTCCTTGGGCCGCATATCTCTCCTAACTTTGCCCCGTTCTCTCCCTCCTTCGTCCGCCTCCCATCGTCCGCCTCCCATCGTCCGCCTCCCATCGTCCGCCTCCCATCGTCCGCCTCCCATCCCAGGCCGGCTGCAGTCTAATTGGCCACACATAGCACCATGTCTCTTTGTTTCTGCAGCCTGGGCTTGCGGTGGCAGCGCTCTAGCGGTGGGATCTCGTAAATCTGCAGGACTTCTGTGTCAGACCCAAAATCTCCACTCCTTTTTTTCTTTTTCTTTTTTTGTTGTTGCAATGACTTCACTCCCGCCCAAACTCCCCTCCACTGGAACTAAGCCAAGAACTTTTTAATTTAACAACTTTTATGTGAAATTTGCATCACTTCCTACTGTTTATATGCAGAGATTTGGAAACTTTCTTATAGGACCATGATTAAGTCCTTTCTCCCCCCTCATCTTGCCGGCTTCAGCAACTTGTTTGGCTTGGACCCACTTCACTGGGCTTTGCTAATACGGTTGTGGCTCGCAGTCCGGGTCAAGTATGGTTCTGTAAATAAGCAGACATAAGATCTAAATGCATTCGACTTCACTTTAAATCTGGTGCAGACTTTCAAAACTCGGACAAATGCAGGTCAAGAGGTCAGACTTCAAAATGTTTTAACAGATAGGACCGGGACGAGAGGAGGAGCGAGTGTGGTCTGAGAAAACACAACATGCAGCTGTGCGTTGAGCTCATTGTGGTGCGTTCGAGTTCTTCAGAATAGATTATAGTGTCGTGTATTTGTAATAGAGTGTGGGACAGCGAGGTTACATGAGGTACTTGTGTAGTAATGGTAAAAAAGAAGAAGGTGGTGCCGTCCCAGTTTGGAGCAGACGCAAGGATACATTTAAATAGTATGACAGAAGTGATTTTTTAGTTTAAGTTTTTTTAAAGTGAAATTTTTACTCCTACTCCCATAAACAATGTATTAAAACAGCTACAAAAAATCAGGTTTTCCTAACTTGTAAGGCAACGGAAATTTATTTGTATAGCACAATTCATAAGTGTGCTTTTCAAAGGGCAATTTAAACAAATATACAAGGATATTAAAATCATAAACAGGTAAACATAAATAATCACCTTAGAAACAATCTTTCCGTTGTATGCACCAAAACAATACACAAAGTTGTATGTAAATAAATGTTTTCAGTCAATTAGTAAATATTGGGAGTTACACACGTGTGATATTGTTTTAGAATTCCCATTACATTGTTATTAATCAATAAGGCGGCGTATTTGTGGTCGTTGTGATATGCTATGTTCCATCTGGGGAGAGTTTGATTGTGGGTTGATGTAACACCAACATGCATTTTGAAACTATTCTCTTTACTTTATTGTTTAGTAGTGTAATTATGATGTGATTAGCCGTGACCGTCCCTATCCAGCCGCAGCCGTAAATCCCCTTCCACAGCAGCGTCCACTTCCCCCACAGTCGGCCGCTCCTTGAGCCGCTGCACGCGCTGTGTTCAATGAGCAACCAACACTTCAAAGTGCATAATTAGCACCTGGATCCTCACTACACCAAAAGCATGTTGTATTATGGAAAACACGACAAATCAGACACGGGAAAGGCGCGCTCGAAATGTAGTGCACGCCACGGCTGAGCAGAGGGGAGGGAGAGCAAGTTTTTTCCTCAAACTTTGTGGAGCTGTACAAGGCGGGGTTACTGTAAGCTGCAGCATGGAGTGAGTCAAACAGGACGGCGAGCGAATGGATTGCAGAACCATAGCAAGCTTCTATCCAACTTAAATAAGCTCTCCTCTGCTGCTCCGCTCTAAAAACTCCGTCATGTACTCACCGTATTGCTTGACACAGGTAAATGCTCCTAAACTACTTGCTCGTGTGTGTTGTGTTGTGCTGTGCAGTTTCAAACGCCGGGTTGAGCACTTTGCTTGTTCATGTTTGTGCATTATGTTTATTGTCGTGCGTAATCTGTTCTCAGAAACTTTCGTTCCGTTTTGAAGCAAGAGAAAAGTTTTCCCTCGCACATGTTATTTGAGAGAGAAAATGGCGCTTCTATAGCCCCGAAATGTATTTGATATAAAAAAGGAAAGGGGAGAGGAGGGAGGAGATAGGGACAGACTGGAGGAATGGAGGACTTTTGAAGGGAAGTGTGGCAGGCAGACGCGGGCAGCAGCCGCGCGTTTTGACGAGTAGTGTCCAGTGTGTAGTGTCCAGTGTCCTGTGGACATGCGACATGTGAAAATGACCTGACTTTTCACATACGAGCAAGTATGCGTGCGTGCGCGCGCGCCCTGAGGGAGCGTGCGTAAAGAATGACGCGCGTAAAACGATGACCCAGGAGATAGTTCACTGAAGCGAGAGCTAAGAACGACAATGTTTGACTTTTCATCCTTAGACACGTTTGTGTCAAGGATCACGTTACAGGTGTGCATTCAACATTATGCTATTTATGTATTTATGTACTTATATTAAAACAATTATAATATATCTGTAACACGTGTCTCTCTTTACAGTGGATTCTGAAAGATAGTATTATTTTGACTGATTATGATTCTTATTTTATGAATCTTTTTGCAGTTTTTTTCACATTTGGCTTTTATACTTTTATTTTAATAACTCTCTATAATCACTTTCTCACAATATCAGACTGAACTGCATTGATTTACTTAATCTTTGATAACTGCATATTTTATCTTGATGTTTGGAAACTCTGCTGTGGTTAAGATTTGAGATAATATTACGTATGGAGAATTTTATTACCATTCAGAGGAACCGTTTTATGTCTTTAGCTGGAAGGCGAATCAACATTGTTCTGACATGAATCTCGACCCAGTTCAACCTTGAAGCATATTTTGACTTTTTTGTTTACGCTCATCCTGAATGTAACTCTTTGCAAAGGCGTTTTAATAACTTTTAAAACCACATGTGTCTTAAACCTACACTTAACAACACCTACTAATGATTCTACATATGAACTTGCTTTACTTTGCTCTAAATGCCCTCAATTAACACAAATTACACCGCCTTTTCTGACTGGATTGCACACTTGTTTCAATCCTCACATTTGGATGTTAGTAGATGTTTGCAGTGACGCAGCTTGCTTGACAGATTTGATTGCAGCTTGCAGCCACCAGTGCCACATATGCATGGACCGACTTTCTTTTGACTTATTTAACTACATTACCATAATATCTGGTATAAAAAAAGGACTGTAAATATAAACAAGCCTAAGGTCGTGGAATCATGCTTCCAAATAATCACAGCTCGATATTGAATAAGGCCTCTCACAACAGGAAACAATAATAGGTTTTTGTGCAATTTATAGAAATAGCAAATAGGTGCATACCAATTGTAATGTCATTGTTTTTATTTATGTCGATTGTCTCAGGATTATTTTGGGATTTTGTGTTTGATTTGAAATGCACATTATTCAATTTGACTGAATGTAATGTTTTGTCCATTGAGGCTGACCGTTTCGGAGGAGCGTGAGTTTGCTCTCTTCCCCTCTGCGCCTCTCTCCCCGGGCTGTGTGCTGGTTCTGCCGCTTTAGCTGCTCGTGCTCACACAAACATCCCACAAGAATCACACAAATACTCACATACTCACTGGGGAAAAAAACACAGTTATTTCACCTGTCATTTTATGTTGCTATATAATATAAATAACATGCAGGAAAATGACTCGTTCACTTCTTTATGTCAATTTTAGACACTTTACTTCTGTTGTTCTGAGCCAATAAGACGCTGCTTTTAAGATTCATGTGATAAATAACAACAAATAAATGTACGGTGAAGGTCAGAAAATTAGAATATTGTTTATTTAAAATGTGAATGATATAGACTCTCAATGCAAAGTGACATATGCCTTTGTTTTTTTGTTTTTTATCATTTTGGTAATTATGGTTTACAGTCTATTTTCTAAATAATCTAATTTTCTGAGATTTTGTATTTGGGGTTTTTACAAGCTGTGAGCCATTTATCAACATTATAACAAACACAGGCTTGATATATCTGACTTTGCGTGTAATCAGAACGATATTATATAATTTTCCAAGTTACACCTGTAATCTTAATTTTGGAATTTTTGTGTGTAAAATTATACTGAAATAATGTGTTTCCATAATGTCCGGTTTAAATAGGCGCGTTTACTGTACAAATAGCAATGTTATAAGTTGTAGAATAGCAACTAAAATAATACGGTGGGACATGAATTTACGCCTCATAGATATTGCATGATAAATATGTAATATGTTTGATGACATTTTAATTTATATATGGCTTGCTTTGTTGAGCCTCTCATGAATGGGTTAATCTAGCTGCAGTAACATTTATATTTATCAATCAATCAATCAAATCTTTATTTGTAGAGCACATTTAAAACAGCCTAGGCTTACCAAAGTGCTGAACAGATAGCGAGGAAAAATAAGTGGATAAAAATAAAAACACATAAAATACAGAAATATATATATACATATATATATATATATATATATATATATATATATATATATATATATATATATATATATATATATATATATATATATATACAAAAAATAAAAAATCTTCCACAACTTTGGCCCTATAACAGAAAAGCTCTGTCTCCTCTGGTCTTCAGCCTGGTCCTGGGGACGACAAGAAGGTGCGTATTTATAGCGTATAATATTTAAAAATAAATACAATTCTAGACATTATCAAATCAGAATCATATGAAATGTGAGCAAATCTTTATCAATTGCAGTTACTCGCCAGTGTACAGTAGGCTGTGCACTAGTTGGTCATGAAACTAATGGGAAAAGTGGTTCCAAAACTCCAGCTAGATGAGGACACAAACATGTCCTAAATGCCCTGAGCATCCACCTCTGCTTCAGCCAAACACACACACACACACACTGACACACAAACTCACGCACACACTCACACACACCTCGCCTCGCAGCTCTGAGCGCAGACGGAGGGGACACATTGTGTTTACTGGATCGCCTTTAATAATTCATAAATGGAGCTTGGACTTGATCGCGGCAACAATAGTAAACAATGGATGGTATGAATGATGGAGTGTGGTGAAGGGGAGGCATGGAGTCGTTGTGCGTAGAGAGAAAAATACCTTTTTTATCACAGAACTACCTTGCTGCAAACTT